GACTATAAAAAGAGTAACAATCTTCTCATTAAGTCTACAGCATTGCGACTAGCCGCTTATTTAGTGAGTTACCGGGAGGAAGGGAAGGGCGGTAATGCCTGTCACAAAAACTGAAAGGACTTGGCCAGAAAGTGGGTGGTATGCTGACCACAACCGCACAGAACTGAGTGGTGAGAGAAGACAGCGCGGAAAGGCGGGGCTGCGCTGGGAGCCTGCGGACGAGCTCATCGCGTTCCCTCCTGCAGATGGTGCGCCGTGGGCTGCCTCGGGTGGGTGGCGAATCCAGGAGGTTGCCAGGAAAGTGTGGAAAGCCTTATAAATGCATCCACTCAACATCACTGACAAGTGACTGGACTCCAGCTCTTCCATCTGTCTCTGGCAGGGTTGCTGCCAGCCTTGCAAGTCCAGGAGGGCAGCTCTGTGATAAATCATCCTCTGGGAAAGCCAAGAGTTTGCTCATGTACAGCGGTGGCTGCCCTCCAGGTGGCGGGATCTGGGAGAAGAGGGCAGCAGGCTCTCTCCCCACAGTGATCTATGTAAAGGCTGGGGAAGGGTCCCCAGGAAGTCAGGGGGTTGTGATACTGTTGCCCCGGGCTGGAGATTTTACATATGAAGTCTCATTTAACGCTCACAGCAGCTCTATGAGGTGGGTATTTTACTGTCTCTGCTTTGCTGACTCAGAGGCCAGGATGCTACACACTCAATTACTGCAGATCATATGCTGGGAAGTGGGAGATTTAGCCAAGTTTGTTTTCTCTAGCATTGACTGTTCATTGTCGTAAGGTCCTAAGTCATCCAAGGGTGATCTCCTAAGTCACCCAAGGGTGATCAAGCAACTGAGCATGCACTCCAGCCAGCACGTCTTTGGGTGGCTACTCATGCGTGTGTCTTCTACCCGCTAAGCCATTGCCTGGGTTATTTTCATCCCAGAAAAATATGAAACCCGCAACACCAGACAGGAGCTGGATATCAAAGCAGGTTATCAAACTGCACCTCAGGCTGACTGAATCAGAGGCTGCATTTTAACAAGATTTCCAGGGGATTTGAGTTTTAAAAGCATTGGTTTACATCTAAGGATATTTCTTATAGGAAAGGGAATTTAGATTAATGATTCTCAAATCTCTGTGCATCAGAATTCCTTGGGGAAAGAAGTAAAAAATGCAGATTCGCAGAGCCATTGCCCAAGGGTTCTAATTAGGAGTTGTGGACAGGATCTGGGAAGTCTGCATTATTTAAATGAGCAACCCGGAGTATTCAGGTAGAACTGATCTAAGACCAAGATCTAGTGAACATCAGGTTAGGAATTCCAGCACCTGTGCGTCATTTTGATGAATCTGGTCAAAGAGGAGAGGGGGATAGGGTCACTCTGTAGTCAGTAACAGAACGAAGATGGGGGATATGTCCTTCAAGCAGACTAACCACACCGGGTTTGGAACGATAGGCATTAGAGAAAACTACCACCAAGCCTCTACGCCCATTCCTACCGCTACTATAGAGTTTTTTGTCCAACTGCCATTGATTGGCTCCAAGTGGAAAGAAATATTCTGGCCATCATGTGATAGCAGGAACAGTGGGAATCACTGGGTCTCACTGAGGTCTTTGCTTTTGTAGACTTGGTTTTTGAAGTTTATTTTGAGCTAAGGCATGACTTTGGCAGGGAAGGGTCGGGGAGCCGAGACACCCAAATGAAATTGTAAAGCACATACATCTGTATGTGCTTCTCTGTACCATTTGACCCCTCCAACAAGACAGTGAGGTACCATTTTACAGCCAGTAAACTGGAGTCAGGATGTAATCCAGGCTTCTGGCTCCGGGGATTTCTGTTGCATAATTGTGATGTTCTGGGGAAAGTTAGGAAATTCCACCTGGTGACTATAAGGAGTTGGTGGACCATGGTTTGTAAATCCAAGAGATCCAGCTAAAATCATGATTAGATCATAGTTTTAGTTTCATCACCCTGACCATGGAAATACAATATCATCCCTAACCTTTATTATATTTCTCAGCAAGAGCGGGGTGGGAGGAACAAGAAAAACAACTATAGGATGCTTTTATTCAGAAATCCTAACTTTTCTTTGGGAGGTGGCATGATATACTGGAAAAACCACAATTTTTGGTGAAAATCACGTTCCTCCCATTCATGAGACAAACATTCAAATATCTCTGAGCATTGTGTTTCTCACCTGAATGTACACCATGGGCCAAGCAGCCAGGGACTGTGTTATGGTTTATATCTATCCATTCTTTCCTCACCAACCCCACAGCCCATGTACTCATAGGCAGGGATCCTGGAAGGGGACAGGACTATGGGTACTTATAGCTGAGTTGCTCTTAGGAGGTGGGGGTCTGCCAGAAGAAAGGAATGTGCAGCACCTGTGCGTCATTTTGATGAATCTGGTCAAAGAGGAGAGGGGGATAGGGCAATGTGCATTTTCACTTCTTTCCCCAAGGAATTCTGATGCACAGAGATTTGAGGATCATTAATCTAAATTTCCTTTCCATTGACCTGCCAGAAGGTCAGTGTGGGTGTGGCCCTGAAAGGTTTATCTCCTTTCCCAGCTCTACCCTTGACTCTCTCTGCTTCCTGGCTGTGATGAGGTGAGCAGACCTCCTCTATCGCCTCCACCAGGGCCCTGTGCTATGTCATCCTGCTGCAGAGGGAGCTAGCTATGGACTGAAATATGGGCCAAAATATACCTCTCCTCTTTTTAAATTGTGGGTGTCAGGTATTGCAGCTCAGCAAGGAAGGAAGGGGTAAATAGACAGAGCTCTGAATCCACAAGCCAAAATACATTCTTCTTCCTTATAAATTGATTTACCCTCAGTTTTTGTGACAGTGGTAAAAAGCTGACTGATGCAGTCTCCTTTAGGACATTTTCTCTTCTAGTACAGGGCCCCGTACAGGGGCAGGTATTGCATTTAGTCCCATGATCTGAAAAACTTCCAACACCTTTCTTTGCTGATTTTTAAAGAATACAGTCCTCCTTCTCTTTTATCTATAGAATGTTCCTCATTTGGGCTTTTCAATGTTTCTTTATGGTCATAAATTCAGGGTGTGTATTCTCGACCAGAATCCTGCATAAATGCTGCTGCCTTCTTCTCAGGGGATAACGTGGTGCATAGCATTCATCCACCATGGTGGTGAGGCTGACTTTGGTTATCCTTGCAAGTTCTTGCTCAGTTTGCAGAGTATCTCGTCACAACTTTTTCTCCCTCAAAGCCATAAGCACTCTGTGGGGAGATCCTTGAAGTTCACGCAAATATTCTCCCATCCCCCAAACTCTCCCACAGTCATGGCAGATGTTGATGACTCTCACTTAAGGCAATCTTTACTGGGATGATTGCAAAATAATCTAACTTACAGGCACTCTCAGCATTCACACTTAACCATCAATATCTTAGGATAAACCAGAGCCCCTTTCTCCCTCATTCATTTATCAATGATCAGCGTGGACTCATGAGTTTGTAGTTTGTTAATTGCTCTGTAATTAAACACTCCCCTAAGTATTTTGGTGCTCAAATGATGCTGGATTTGGCCAGTGGGTACATTCCCCCAGATAGCACCTTGGTACTTAGGACATCGCTTTTAAGAAAGTACTTTCTTACTTACTAGCATTATCAAGTGTTCCTTGCTTACCTTTTACCCACACTACCTCATGGCAAGCATCAGCTGTTTCTCCAAAGAACCTCAATTCTTTTTACTAGAAAATGGGAGAAGAGACCAAGATTTGGGGCTTAGGTGTGATCTTTGCTAGCAGGATGTCTTTGATTCTTTGTCTTGGTGTATAATACACACACCTACACAACTAACTCAGTTCATGAGTTTGATTCAGTCCACAATTCTGAGGAAGATGGCTGCGGTCATATTCCTCACCTGAAGCAGGCTTCTCAAATGGAAGCAAAATTTTGTGGAATGCTTCTGCTCATAAACTGAATTGCTCTGTTCGTGAACAAGAATGCTTGTGAATTGAGGCATTATTGTATATGTACTGTGCACACCAACACACACATGAACCTGTACGTTTACATGTGTACATCACAAGAGTATGCATAATTTAGAAATCATCACTTTATACTGACACCTCCGATTTCAGTCCATGTGGGCGAGGTTCTTTCTTGGCTTCTCTCACACTATATTTCTACATCCATTCTTCCATGGTGAGAACCCTGACTCCTTTCAATATCAACCCATTTACACATTTGCTCAATCCTACAGTACAGCTAAAATAGCTTCAGAATTGCTTTGCCCATAATTGAAATAAAAGGTCCTAAAAGAGTTTAAGATTGGTTTGTATTTCTTCTCCCTCTGCCCTCCCACCTTAGCCAAGGTATTCCATTAAAACTTGTGCTCATAAGTTATCTCAATTTGTTTCTTCCTCCTTCTTTCTCTCCTTCCTATCTTTCTCTGCCATTCGTTGTACATATCATGTTCTCTCAAATACCGTTAGATTTTTCCTTCTCCTTTTATGTTTAGGTTTTTCTATCTTGTTTTTACTGATTTATTTTAATTTTTGAACATGTTTTCTGAATGAAGAACTACTCTTCCTTCTCTATCATACATAAGTAGCATTCTATATACACTCTTCACTTTTCCTCCCCTCTCTTGGAAAAGACTCCATATCAATTTATATGGACCACCCGACTCTGTTTCCTAACATGTGCATTTCACTTTACTGTGTAAATGTGCCTTTCAACCAAGCCTCACTATTATTCACTATTTTATCCAAAGTTCAAATTTAATTGGATGATGTATATTTTTATAAATCTGGCAATCCTCATTGTGTGGAAAGCTAAACAAAGTCCTAACCTAGGCTTGTCATCTGTGGCCCACTCACATCCCCTTGGCATTCCAAATTCCCTCAATGTCAATGATTCCCTCACATGTCATGGGATTTCTGGCCCACAACATGACAATTTTGGAGGTAAGAATATAGGTGGGATGTAACACATACAGTGTAAAATTCAGAATAAAACTCACTTGGCTCTTAACTCTGGCTGTGTCATCTTGGGAAGCTCATTTATTGCTCAAATAATATCTTCTTCAAAGGGCCTATTTTACATAATTAAATGACATTTACATATTGTAAATGCTTCACAGTAGTTACCTGTTATTTTTATGAAACTTGCACTTCAAGCAAATACAGTTAAGATAGGTCTTTCTATCCACTTCGTGGAGGTATAAAGTCACAGTATCCTTGTCTGCTAGTGAGGATCCTGCTTTCTCAGATGAGGAAGCTGGTACACAAGTGGTCATCATGATGCTGGGGACAGAGCTCCACAGTGATGCTTGCTGGACCAAAGATCAACCTCTGCCAACTTGGGGTGGGATTCGGCACTGGGAAGAAATGAGACATCAGCAGGACACATTAAGGAAAATGAGGTCAGAAATGGACCAGGATATCAGAGCAGACCATACGAGAGGCTGAGAGGTAAAGAGGATGAAGGGTTAATGAGAAAAGAAATAGCATAAGGAAGAGTAAGGACAAAAAAAGCAAGGTTGAATATGAGAGAATGAAGGGGTTAAACAAAGCTACATGCCAATTAGAAGAGTCAGTAGCCAAGCAAGTGAAACAGTATGGATAAATGTTTAGACCAGAAAATGGACAAATGAGAAACTGTTGTAGGAAAAACTCAGGAAAGAATTGCTCACATACTATATGTGATAAAGAGGCTTTCACTTAGATGTCAGTATTTCATCTCTAGAGTAATTCTGTGAGGTGACCAGGGTAAATATTATTTCCCCCACTTTACAGAGTGATAAACTACTTAAATCAGAGTGGTTAAATCATTTGCACAGAACTGCAGTGTCAACAGATACAGAGCTATATTGAGATCCCAGGGCTCCTAGCCACTTCCTCTACACTGCACTCTCATCCTTAAGAACTTTAGGGAGGGACTGTGGTGAGGAGATGTGAGGCCAGAGCATCTGAAGGAGTACAGGACTTCTAAAGAACCCACAAGCGCCTGGGTTATTTAGGTTGGTTTGTTCTCTGTACAGCAAGAGACCCATAAAACTGGACTATGGTGGGGCCAGTATTCAGGTTCTGAGTTCCAATCCCTTGAAAAAATACAAATAGAAGTATTTCAGCTTCAAACTAGGAAGCATGCTCTCCCAGATGGTTCATTTTTCTATGATCTAGCTGATCCTTCACTATGCGTTGAATGAACCATAAATTTCGTCTTCACTTCTTCTCAAAACCTGCCAGCTTCCCTGCTCATCACAGAAGCCAGAGCAGATCTCTCATCCCCAAGCTCATCTTGTAGAGTTCAGTCCCCATGCTTTGGACCCGGCCAGTGCACTGACTGGCAGGCAGATGGAGGAAGTGCAATTTCCCTACAGCCACGCTGAACTCCTTCTTTGATGTTCTTTTACAATTTTCTCCCACATGCAACAAGACACCTGATAGCATTGATCCACATTCTACTCTAATCACACCAGAAGCCACAGCATTGCTAAGGGAGAAGGGTTTATATACGTAGTTCCCTCCTGTAACAAGAAGAAATCAAGGTAGAAAAGGTTGTCATTGAACCAAGAATGCTGTCCCCCCGCCCCCGCCTCGTCCAGGAATTTTCTGTGTTTATCTGCGGGGATGCTCTTTAGTCTTTGACCCTTCTTGGAATGTTATTATGTCCCCAGCTGTCATATGTTCAGTGGAACCTCTGTTCCCCTAGAATTCTTATATTGAAAGTCCCATCTAAGTATGTTCCCATACTTCCCATCTAAGTATGTTCCCATCCCCTAAGATGATTGTAGGAAGGAAGTGAGCCCTTGAGAGATGACTGAGTTATGAAGGCGGAGCTTTTTAGGGGGATTAGTGGTGCCTTCACAAAAGAGATCCCAAAGAGCTAACTGTTCTTTTATACCACGTAGGTACATGGTGAGAAACCCCTGTCTATGAACATGAGAGCTGGACCTCACTAGACTGAATCTATTGCCACCTTGATCTTGGACTTCCCAGTCTCCAAAACCATGAGAAATAAATTTCTATTGTTTATAAGCCACCCAGTGTATGATATTTTGTTATAGCAACCCAAATGGACTGACATAGTCCCTAATGGCAACAGAAATTCTATCTTGGAGGAAAAACAAACACCCAAGTGGTGGTGGACGGGATTTACACTCCTCTTGACTTTGAGGAGGGGTTGGTGAGGGCTGGAGTGTGGCAGAAACCTTGTGAAGGTTGGGAACGAAGGACCTTGTTCTAATATCTTGTCTCTGACCTCGGAATGTGAATTGTATGAGTACACAAAATGTTTAAAATATTGCCTTTGTTCTCTAAGTATGTTCCCATCTAAATATGCTTCCATCTCTAGCACCATTTGCTTTCCCTGTCTGGGAGGGATTTCCTAAACTAAGATAAAGCAGAAGGTCATCCTTTAACTCAGCAGATTTCCTTCCACAGGAATTTGTACCATGTGCAAGGGCAGGAGCCCACATTCTTCAAGTTTGCCTGGTCTGTTACACCTGCTGATTGGCAGTGACACAATTTATAATCCTGGACATGTAAGCAGAACAATCCTGCTCTTCTCTGCTGTTCTAACCAGCAAAGACAATCACAGACAGCAACGGGAAATATCTGAAATGGCCCTCAAGGCTATCCATCTCCTGTGCAAGCCTCTCAAGTGGGATGTATTCTGAAGCTTGAGCTATACTTGTAATGAGTAACATGTAGTTAGAATGATACGATATCACTGCCAAGATTGGGCCACCAATGGCTACTCCTGTGTCATTGTCACTCCCTCATTTACACTCTTGCTCTCTCACTCGATGACGGCAGCTGCAGTGCTGCAAACCTCTCCACCCAGGGACCAGGGGCAGCGTCTCTCATCAGCCAGTAAGGACTCAAGGCTCTTGGTCCACTGGCTTAAGAACTGAATTCTGCAAAATCACCCCGCAACCTTGGAAATGGATATTTCCCCAATCAAACCCGCAAATAAAACTCTGTCAAGGAGGTCTTATTCCACGCCAGATGCTATAACAAAAAACATAAACTGTGTGGCTTGTAACCACAGAAATGTATTTCTCATGGTTCTGGAAGCTGAGAAGCCCATGGTCAAAGTGTTGGCAGGTTTGGTGTAGGGTGAGGGCCTGTTCTTTTTCAGACTTCTTGCTGTATCTTTACATTGTGGATGGGACTTCCCAGCCTTTGAAGTCTCTTTTATGAGGGCACTGATCCCATTCATGAGAGAAAGTCCTCTTGACCTCACACCTCCTAAAAGTTTCATCTCCTAATATCATCATCTTGGACGTTAGAATTTCATACATGGATTTCAGTGGAAACTAGCATTTAGTGCGTGGCACCCAGCCTTGTGAAAAGGACCAAACTGAGCTATAGGATAATAACAGTTTCAAGCCACTAAGTTTTGGGGTAATCTGTTGCAGAATAAAAGATAAGTAATACTTTTGCTAAACTGTGCTGCAAAATTAACAGGCAATGCATCAGTTTATCATACCAGGCCCACCCACATTCCCTCACCCTCCTTAGCAAAGTCCTTCCCATTCTGTCTACCCTGCATTATAACACCATTTGATTTCCAAAGGTTTGTGGCCTGTTCCTGAGGCTGTCCTGCAATCCACACCACTCAACCTCACAGCTGCTGCTGGCGCTTTTCTGGCTCTTAGGGTCTTCCTTTTCACCTGGTCTTCATTGTGCCTCTGCAGTTCTCCCATGGTAGACCCTCAGCCACATGACTATTAGATGACAGGCACTAAGGATGTGGGGATGGCTAAGTGCAGACACAACTCTGCCTTCATGGAGCTTTCCCTCTAGAAAGGAAGCAGAGGGAAACACCAGCTATGGCACAAGCAAAGGTCAGAGGTCCCTGAAAGGAGGCAAATGAATCCTGGAAATAAATGGCTTTTTCCTAATCAGGAAGAGCAGGAATGACTCCCTGAGGAAAGTGGCACCCAGTGGTGAGAGTTCTCTTGGAAAAAGCGAGCCAGGAAGAGGAGCACTGGAGACAGAGGAGCAGGATGTATGAAGTGGGGTCTTTGGAGTGTTGAAGGCACCATAAGTCTTTCGGTGAAAGAGCCAGGAGGAGCGTGATGGGAATGAGCAGAGTGTAGATGAGGGTGGGACCTGAGTCCGTCTCACTCCAGGCCAACCATGAAGAGAGGAAATTTCAGGAATACCCTTAAAGCTTCTGTCTTCCAGCTACCTTCTCTTGATAGCACTTCAGTGCGACAGGTCTTGAATATCCTCTGGGCCTGTTTTAGAGAGTTGCTTTTCTGAAACTTATTTTGCGGGGACCCTTACAAGTAATCAAGATTGTGAAGGAATGGAAAGACGTGGCCCCAACCACAAAGAGTATTTTCTCGTTGGGAACTCATCATGGAAAAAAACTTAGCGACAGTCTCTGAATCACAACGATGAAGTGCACATAGTCACAAACCAAACTCCCAAATGCCATAGGAGAACTCAGAATTAAATAACCCTGGGGAAAACCCGGAGATGTGCTCAGGATAAACCCCACTTGGTCTTGGCTTCACCCCAGCCACTTTCAAACCTCTCAGCGATGTCTTGTGTTGGTTTGGGTCAGGAATGGGGAGAAGGAGAGCTCAAAAAACAGAAGTGGACACAAAGGTTGAGGATGGGAATTATAGAAGGTCCAAGGATATTTGTAGGAATTCTGTGTCGAATGGCCCAAAGCCCTGCTCTCCTTGGGAGGCTTTGGATATTTTTCTCTTTTTAGGGGGAAACAGAGGATGGCAAGCTCATGTGACTCACATGCGTGGGACAAACTGCTGCTCCATAGATGGATACTTGGTAGGCGATCTGAAGAAAGGTCATTCACTCACACAGGAAATCTTCCCCCGCAGCAGCATAGTGCTTTTCACAGGAGGAATTATACGTAATTACCTTGTGAGACCAAGGTGACTCAGAGCCCTGGTTCTTTCTCCTCTACCCACTAACTTTGGGATGCAGCCAAATGCAGCCAATGGCCCCCAGAAGACTTCCTGTCAAACTAGGAGGTGTGAGCAGAAGAGACAGCATGTGAGCCTCAGTCAAAGTTCTCCTCCTTAACTCTGGCCAGATGCGTGCAGGCATCTGCCTCTCAAGCTCACCCCGCAATGCTAAAATGTCCCATGCACCCGGGCCCAGGAAGCAGAGCATTCCCATCTGGGCACAGAGCCTTCAACTGATAGTCTTTGGTGGCCTTGGTTGTAGATAGGATTTTAGGCCCAGATGCAACATCTATGAAATTAAACTTGAATAATAAATCCCAAATATGTCATAATCTTGGGAAAATATCCCAGTGGAAGTTTTAGGCATATGCAGACTTTCTCTAATGAAAATAGCCACCATTTGTTAATTATGCTTCTGATACCTTACTCTACATGTGTTATCCCAATTTATACCCAGAACCCTTAAGGGAGATGCCATCATCTTCATTTTAGAAGCAGAGGTGGGGCCTCTTGGGCTCCCGGAGGGAGGGCCCCTGGCACATGGGGAGCCACGGGCGGGGAGCGCCGGTCTTCCGGCTGGCTAGCTTCCTGCCTCGTAGGCTCCCGGAGGGAGGGTCCCCAGCACATGCGGAGTCATGCTGCGGCGAGCGCTGTTGCACGCCAGCCTTTAGGCCGGCTGCCGCCGCTCAATTGAGATCTATCATGACACAGAGAAACAGTGACACAATTGGCTTGCCATGCAACAACTGCAGATGCCCACCCACAGACATGTGTGAATCATTCAAACTTTAAACAACATGCCATACAATAGGACACTCTTTAAATACATGCCATACAAGGGGACACTCTTGCTCCTGCCATTGAGAACCAGAAAGGTCCAGAGCCAGCGGAGGAGCAGCTGCTGAACAAGGACTCAGAGAACATAAGAATGCAGACTAAGCCCACGGAGTCAGAGGTCCTGTGGACTGGGGTCACAAGAGCCGCTTGGAAGCTGTAAACCAGGAGGACCTTGCAGAACCCCTGCAGAGACTCATTGGAAGCCATTCTTCCCCTGACAGTACAAGCTGTGGTGGAGCTCCGGAGAAGTCTGCAACAGGATTCCTGCTGCCTGTGCTGACAGTTGGGAAGAGGACACTAACTGGTTGTGGGGTCCCAATGCGATGAGAGGCTGGAGAGAAAACGCTACAAAAAATGGCTTTCGCCCCAGACGGCTCACTTGATTTTTGACAACCCTTAGGCTGTAACTACTTGTTAGATCCTTTGTGTATATCTCTGTCTTCCTGAGAAACCACTTTGAAGATACCACCATGTATTACACCAGTCATTGATATTTTCCCACTAATCTATCCATAACTCTGTAATGTTTGCATTGTTCCTATCCTATTTCATAAATGGATCCATGTTTATTATTATGTGTTTCCTACAACTACCATTGAGAATTATTGAATGATTATTTAGTAGGTCACTCATGTATAGTTCTATTTATATTCTTTAGAAGCCACTTTGAAAATACCTAAATATAGTACAACAACTATTGATAATCTCCTACCTCTTTTGTCTGTAACTCACTATCATTTGTCTATTTGTTTTCCTGAGAAACTATCTTGTAGATAACAATATGTAAAACAATAACCATTGATAATTTCCTACCACTTTGTCTGTAATTTGGTAAGCCCCCCCTATTATTATGTTATCCTTCTTTTACTCTTTAAAATAAAAAAAAAAAATAGAAGCAGAGGTGGAATTTTAACTCAGGGGTACACATTTGTGTGGCCAGCAGCTCAACTCCAATATCATTTCATCCGTGAAGCTGGTGTGACCGCTCCATCCACTATGCTTGCATCAAACGTCAAATGCACTTACATAACCCACTTAAAATGATATAAGGAATAGTTAAGATCATGTGACATCCTCATTGAGTACATTCCCTAGTAGCATGCCTGGTACATGGTGAGCTCTCTGATACTTACAGAATAAATGGCTGTCATCAAGACCTTGTGTGTATAGTAATAAAACATGGACTAATTTTAGAGAAAAGGAGAGTGATTATGCTAAGCCATTGTTGTCCTCCTCCTGGCCCCAGACAAGGACATTTATCTTTGAGGCAAGTGCCCATCCTCTGCAGTGTTTACACAGGGACTTGGAGGGTTTCTGGAAGCCAGAACCTTCCTCTCCCTCCCCCTGGCCAAGGAAACAGCATCCCTGCCTGGGCACGGAGCCTGCAGCTTTACTGGAGTGATTTAGCACGATACAGTGAAAGGCCAGGGAAGCAGAGCTGCAGCCGTTTCTCTTCTCCCTGGAAAGGTCAGCGGGGCTTGGACTGGGCTGCTATTCTGATGTCTTTGCTCTGTTCATTTGACTCCACAGCCCGTCTTTCTCCTTCCTTGGGGACAGGGTGACACCTGAGGACTCATATCTGAATCAGGAGTGAGGGAATGAGAGATGTGAAACCGGCATCCTTTCCTCGCTAAGCGGATAACAGACCAAATGGCCATAATCACCAGGCTTGGGGCACATGTGCAATGCCCACTATGGTGCTGAGAGCTACCAGGCACAATAAATGTGACTCTTCCACTATTCCAGGAGCTTTATAAACACGAACTTTGGTCCTTGCAAGAGTCTCATGAAGTGAGTCCTATTATTATCAGCCTTTTACAGATTTAGAAAGCGAGGCAAGGAGAAAAGAATTAATTTGTCCAAGGCCAACAGAACTAGAAGTGGGAAACAGGGATTCAAACCCTCACTTCAGAGCCCATGCATCACCTGTGTAAATAGTGGAGGCGACGCTCGCAGAAGCCCTTTGCTGTGATCACGTACTTCTCGTCCTGTAGATGACGAGGCTGAGTTCTGAGAATGCTCAATGCCCGGTGTCCGGTGCGAAGCAGTGAACAGAGGTGGAAAGAAGACGACTCATTCTGACTCCCCAGTCTGAGCTCCTTTCACAGCATCACACTGAGCACAGGTCCAGCTGGGGCATCTAAGAGAAAATACAGACAAATCACCAGAATGGTGGCATCCTCAGTAACTGTTCTCTACAGAATTCCAGGGATGCGGGTTTTGTCCTTACTGGATATCCTCTTCTCAGCATGGCTGCTGCTGCCACCTACCCACTGGTTAAGGCCCCACTGCGGAACTGCCCGTCACAGACATGCAGCAGGCCACAGTGGGTCCCTATGTACTCCAGAAAGTGAGCTCAAGGACCCAGCATAAGAGCACCCTGTGCTCCACCAGCTGGCCCTGCACTCAGCAGAGACGCTGGGATGCCGACTGAAATCATCCACACGTGCATCACCTTCCTTCTAATTTCCAGTTCCCTCTTTTGTTTACTATGAATAAAAGAGAACAGATGACTTTAACGGAGCACCAGGTAGCCCAGGCCCAGTCCACCCTGACGTTAAGGACCAGCACTTGCAGTTGCACCGTAGGTTTGGTCCACACGTGGTCCAGGACTAAGAGGAGAAGGGGCCACGTACTCACCTCTTGCCTCTGCTGGAGCCACACTTGCCTTGATTCTGCACCAGGCATATGGTTTGAGTTACCTTGGTCTGAAGGAGCAGGCGGGGCCCCACCTGCACAGGGTCCGCAGGAGACTTCACAGGACTGTGCGTATGGAAAACATTTGGGACTGCGTCTGCCTTGGCTACAGGGCAGGTGGGGTGCAGCTGACAGCTCTGCCTTCAGCTGCCAGCATGCAGGGAGAGGCCTTCGCCTCCTTCTCCAAGGTGTTTCCAATAAAACAAGCACATGTCCTTCATTAGAAACAAAGTAAACACAGAGTGATGATGTCATGGCGTTTCTGGGGGAAAGCAGGAAAACAGTTTTCAAATGTCCTCCGGAGGGCCTTGATGTGCAGCGGGCGGGGCGGGCTGGAGAGAGGAGCAGGGTGTTTACAAGGAGAGCAACCACGGCAGCCGCCACCCGCTCTGGCTTCCCAAACTGGAGAGCCAGGAACAGTCCTGCCTGGCTATGTCACAGACCAGGGGGCCTGCAGAGACGCCCGGGGTGACCACCCCAGGTCGCGGATGAGGGCACAGAGTCCAGGGAAGCTGAGGAACCTGACCAGCTTACACGGCAGCCAGCACAGAGCAGGAGCTGGCACCTGCAGCTCCCAGTCCCAATCCTGTACATTTTCCGGAGCGTCCCTCTCCACCACGGCAACGACAGGGCGGAACACACATCTGTTCAAGTGTGGCTGATGTTTCAAGGCAACAGTTCTCATCCTGAATTCATATGAGGGACTCTCGCGGGATACTAGAAAAACTACCAACACCCAAGCTTCACACCATGTGATTCCAATGGAATAGGTTGGGCTTGAGGCCACGGCACAGATATGCTTAAGTGCTCCCTAGAAATTCATGGGTTTGAGAGCCACTACTTTAAGGAATATAAGGACTAAGACAATATATTTCCTTCCTTCTGGGAGCTCACAGCAAGGCAGACAGATATGTAAGTAATCCCACGCTAGGTACCACAGAAGGTCCGAGAAGAATGCGGTGTGGTCCACGTCATTCTCCACGTGGGCAAACGACTAGTTTGTATGAACACACCATTTTCCACTGAAGCAAAGTTTACTTACCTTTCTAGGTAATTAACTCTAGATACAGTAAGGTTGTTTACCTGTTCGTTGAACTCCTAAACTACCCACAGGCTGTAGGTGAACAATCTAGCCCCGAACTATACACTATTTCTATATTGTTCCACAGTAATAGTGAAATGAATCTTCTCACTCAGTGCACTCTGCTTTATGATTTTCATACATTGCCATCCATATTCCCAGAAGCTCTACAATACTGGTGTTACTATACCCACTTTACAGACCCTGTTTCCCTCAAAATAAGACCTAATGGGAAAATAATCAGCCTTGAAAACTAGAGATCCAGCCCCAGTCACCTTGCTTTACCTGCCATTACAGAATAGCCACTGAGCAAGAGAACAATAAAGTATAACCTTCGGCATGATGCTGGCCATCGCCATGATAATGCCCAGCCCCTTTTTCTGGTTAAGTTTTATTTTTAGGCAAACATGGGATTAGGAAATTAAATCTCATACATGTCAAGTCTTGCCCCCAAGCTAAATCACTGGTAAGAACAAAATAAGGCAGGTCTATGTGCCTCAAAAATTCTTTCCAATGCATCATTTTACATTAAATTAGCTATATTTCTTTAACACGTAATCCTGATGCTCCATTTTACAAACTACTAACTTACTTTACGTTCGTTCTCTTACTTAATCCTGACTACCACCCCACTGTCTGCTCTACTTGACAAGCAAGGGAAGGAAGCCTAGCAGAATGAAGTGTAATGCTCGGGATCCCATCCCTAACCTTGAACCTGGTCATGTTGTTTCAAAGTGCAGGGCCACGCTCACCGCTCACAGACATCAAGTGCCAGCCTCCGCATTGTGCTGACCCAGAGTCCCAGTGGGTCTAGACTATTTTTGATGCTGCTCATGTGTACTCCCCACTGATCACAAACTGCCTGTGGCCTCACGAATCGATTTTACTGGGAGTAGCAAAAAGTGCTGATGAAGTGGCTGGCTCTCAGGACCTGCAGCATGAAAGCCCAGCGGCTCTTCAGGGGTTGGAAAGAAAAGCTGAGAAGGCAGCTGTGGGTCCCTTTTGGTGCTGTGACTATCGCTTTGTCAGGGGAGGAACCAAAATGCCTTCCACTCACAGTGTTAGGAAATGGTTCCAAACCCTCTGCGTCAGCTCACAGAAGCCAGAGCAACTGTGAGTTAAATGCCCTGTCCATGGCCACCAATTGGACCAGTGGGAGGGACAGACACCTCTACCTCCCTCCCTCGAAGCCTCCAATTTGAGTCCCAAGGGTCTTCTGTGACATAGCAGTGTCTTTTTATTTATTTAGTTATATTCCACCTCCTTTTCCAACGTGGCTTACAACACGAATAGACAGAATGAGCAATGATAAAATATAAACAAGTAAAGTTGACCGCGGCTGGGGAACATGTAAATTTAAGTCATGTCCAAGGAAAAATACTTTATTAGTCAGAGAGGAAACACTGCCCAAAGCCCAGAAGACTCAGTGCATTTGAAATAGATCTTCCGTGCATATGGTTTCATCTGTGAGGTATTTTTAAGGGCTCAGCAACTCCTGTGGGGTTTTCCTTCTTGCTGGATATTGACACAGAAGAATGATTCAAGCAATGAAACTATAGATTTATTCCCAGGATGTGGTCAGTACACAGTATTCAAGCATCTTTGGTTAGAGGGGATATGTTTTCCAAGTCTAACGGTGCCAAAAAGACCACGTCAATGCTTCGTGCCGAACGTAACATTTATTTCAACAGTAAGTCTGAATCATGGCCAGTCATTCAACAAATACTGTGACAATAAAGTATCTGCCAGGAGCTGTGTAACACGCTGGAAATTCAGAGGCCAACAAGACACAGACCTTTCTTACGGGACTTCCTCTTAGAGGGGCAGGTAGGCCTGTGAAGATACAATCAGCACACACGTGGCAAGTGTGAGTGCACAAGGATGCAGAAGGATGTAGAGATGGAGACAACGGCTTCCCTGAGGCTGGGTGATCTCAGCTCCACACCAACACTCATCCAGGTATGAGAACACAGAAGCACCGGGCTGGAGGAGCCACCCTAATCTTGCGGCCTAGGGGAGTCACAGCATAAAGAGCTGATTTGTGCCTTGCTAAGTACCTCCATATTTCTGATTTGTTTACACAGAGACAGCCGCAGTCCCAGCTTAGAAGATGGTGGCCAGCAGGCGCAGGGCGAAGGGGCATGGAGAACTCCTGTGGTAGACACGAGGTCATAGCCAAGTCAGGAAGACTAAGTTCCTGGCATAATACAGGTCTATTGTTCTTGGCAACCCTCACATGATAAAGGGAGCTTCAGGGTCAGAATCAACTTGCTGGCAGACCCTGCGTCCACTCAAATCTTCCTTGATCACATTTAAAACCAAATCACACATCTTCGGGGAGGTTAAAAATGGCACGTTTGTCTGCTAAGATGTGCACCAAAAATAGAAGACCGGTAACCAAAAGTAATCAAGTATTTCTACCCTTCAGAGCTCTAGTGCCTAACTTAAAAATTTGGGGCATCCTCTCTGGCTGACCTGGATTAAGAATACATAAGTGGCCATAAACATATGTAGTGGTCTCCTCTTATCTTTGGATCATATATTCCAGCACCCCCAGTGAATACTTGAAACCACCCATAGAGGATTCACCCTCGATCCTCTGTGCTTTTTTTCCTGTACATGCTACAAGCATTAAAATTTAATTTATAAATGAGGCACACTAAGAAGCTAACAGCAATAACTAATAATAAAATAGAAAACATAGTCTGTAATAAAAGTGAAGGGAATCTCTGAATTGCCCCAGGGCCAGTAGCATCCACTACCTGGATACATTGGACATAGAAGACTTGTGTCCCAGGCAGGATGGAACAGGAGAGAGTGAGTTCCGCCACAATACTTAGAACCCTGCACAGTTTAACACTTTTGGATCATTTTGGGAATTTCCCATTAATATTTTGGACCATGGTGCACCATGACATAAAAAATAACCAGGAACTACTGTGGTAGAAATGTTGGAGAATTTACAAAATAATATGGGGGAGAAGCAACCTACAAAGTAGAGCTGGCTGACCTCGGTGGGTTCTCGAATGTACGTCTGGAGGAGCCCCAGACCCCACCTGCTTATTGTTATCTTGAGGTGGGTGCTGACTTTCCTCTGTGAAAACAAAAGCAAACGTGGTAACTTCAAAGTCAATCATCTTCTTTCTACTAACGCATAGGTTGGAAGTTTAAAGAGTGGAATTTATAAAAGACAAAGCTAAGAAATACCAAAGGTACTGGAGAATCTGACTTTAAAGGAGGGAGAACCGTAGTGGAAATTCTGTGTGTTTGTGACCAAAAACCTCAGCCCCTGGAAGTAAAGCCTGCGTCCATGCCCCGAGTCTCTTCGAGCTGGCCTTGGGCTCGGTGCAGGAAGAGAGTCAGACTTCAGAGTTGAACCCCAGCTACTCACTGTGTGTGTCCGAGCAGATTACTTACCTACTAAGGGGCTCTGTTGTCTCTTCAAAGTGGGGAAATGATGGCACCTACCTCCGTGGGCTGCTGTTAGGATGGGAAGAGACCGTGTGAAAGGTGTAGCACCATCCTGTGCACTTAGAAACCCTCACCACTCCTCCAGGAATGTCCTGGAATCTCTATCGTCCAGACAGGGGTGTGAGCCGGGAGAAGCCCAGTGTCTTTGCCAAATGCCAGCACCCCCACCGGTGACTGACAGGTCTCCTGAAAGACAGCCACAATCCTGCCCCCTCCTTCCCTGTGGAATGTGGTGTATATTCTTGTTCACTTCTTTCCTTCAACTCCATCTGTGCCACGGTTTTCTCCCAGCTACCCCCTTTATAACTTCCTGTGACCCTCAAGCTTCTCCTTTTCCCATGGGACCTTTTTCACTTGGTCGCTGGCTTTTGTTCACCAACTGTTTAGTGCCGAGGTCACTGAGGACTTGAGCGTTCAGCTCCAGAAAGCCAGAAGAGGTGTGTCCTAGGAAGAGGCATTAGTGAAACTCCCTTGACCATTTGGACTACTGTTTTTCAATCTTTGGAAACTTGTCCCACCATCCTCAGTATTTTGCTAGTCTCAGGGTA